AGGAGGGGCCGCAGGCGGTGGCTGTGCGGGGCGGGCCGGGTGAGGGACCGGCACACCTTCTGTACCCATGGCAGCTATCTTGGCTACCCCCGGAGCGACCTGCCCCTCCACCGTCACTCCTGACAGCTCAGGCTTTTCCACCTTAAGTGTCCTGAACTTAAGCAATTATGTCTGAATGCATTTTTCCCCCCACCCTGCCTTTTTTTTTTCAGTTGGATGCTGATAACTATGAGACTGATCCATGTCTGAAAGAGATCCGCAGAGCGGAAAATTATTCTTGGATGGATATAATAACCATACATAAAGACAAGCTTCCGAACTATGAGGAAAAGGTACGGGAGCCTTTGCTGTGGAGGAGGATTTGCGCGCTGAAGCTGCCGCTAGAGTGTGCAGCTGGCTTCTCAACACCTGCACACCCCCAGCAGTGGCGCAGAGAGGAGATTTCCAGGTGTAAAATACATCCTGTACTTAAGTCCTTAACATTCAAAAAGTGTTTTTTGGTATTATTTTAAAAGTAGCCGGGGCCTTTTAAGGATAGTTCCCATCACTGTGTCATTTCAAAACTAAGGTTTCTACCAGCAGAGCCCCGCCAATGCTGACATGTCCTCAGAGAGCCTCCCTGGGATAAGGACGGGTAGTTGCCAGCTGGACGTGGGCTTTGAAGGCTGGAACATCCTACTGACTGCTTGCAAAATGTGTCTTTTCAAAGTGAATGTTAACCTCATGGAATTGGAGGGGTACATTCCACCATGCAAGAAGATTTTTTTAAACTTGGAAAGCTGGCACCTTGGCTATCTCGAAACAGCTGGAACGGGCTCTCAGATGAGCCTCCTAAGAAGGAGTTTTCTCCTGCTGGCCTTAGGGTACTAGTGTGTAGCTCTGACCTGAAGACAGCAACCCAGTGGCACTTCATATTTTCATTAAATTTCAATTTACCAGTTTGTTTTAAGCCCATTGTGTTATACTGGTTTTAATTGATGAGAAGAAGAATTAGGTGGTAACTCAGGTTGCCTGGGTGGGCTCTATCTGACCCAAAGACAGGCTGTTATCAACAGGGCATGTGGACTTTTGCTCACTTTTCCATGCTGGATCAGAACCGGCTCAGGGACACCTGCACTAGTGCGGCTAAACAGCATCCAGACCTGAGCATGTGATGGTACCTGGCATTGCACTGCTCTTTGTGCACTGACCTGCTAGGTCTCTGTTAATTGAACCTTTAAAGCATGTTTTGTTCTGTGCTGTGAAATGTACAAAGAATTCAGCATTCTGGAAAAAAACAGAATGTTGCTGCTACTGCCCGGGAGGAGGGAGCCCGGAGCTGGGGCTCACTGTGTGGGAGCAGGCATGACATGCTGTTTACATCAGATTGCCGTAGATGGGTCATATTTGGTAATAACTGTATTTTCACACAGAGTTGTAGTAGCCTGTGGGGCTAATTCAACCTGACACCAGGGTAAAAGAGGGGGGATAATCTGTAGCTCTGTTTTATTTTTGCATGTCAGGGAAAAAAAGGCACAAAATGATCAAACTGAGCAACTGCAGGGACCAAATGCTGCAGTGGGAAGCTTTACCTGCCTTTCTCAAAATGGGTGTAAGCTTTACTGTTTTTCAGAGACTGGTTATGTGCAGCTATAGCTGCTGTTTCTTGTCAGATAAATTCCTGTCTTCCAAATGTAGCAGCCTGCTTAGAATTGTCCTGAGACAGAGTCTGTCTGGCTGGATTGGACATTTTAACCATGTTGGTCTTATTTGTTAGTTAAATCACTGTGCAGTTACCCTTTGAAAGCATTTGCTTTGCCACATGTTTCTACTAGATTTCTTTGCAGTTTTTCTGTGTTCAGTAGTTTTTAAGAGATACTTGCTATTCCTAGATAAAAACATTTTATGAAGAACATTTACACCTAGACGATGAAATTCGCTACGTCTTAGATGGATCTGGCTATTTTGATGTTCGAGACAAGGATGACAAATGGATCCGGATTTCCATGGAAAAAGGAGACATGATAACCCTCCCTGCTGGCATATATCACCGATTTACACTGGATGAGAACGTATGTTGTTATAGATTACCGTAAATTTTGATGACAAATCCATGCGAGTATATATATCACATTAGTAACTACATGCCCTGAGACTTGCAGTTCATTAGCAAAACATATTAAATATGAAGTAGGAATATGAAAAATACTAAATAATTCACAGCATCTGAACCTTTCATCTCCAGGTCACAAATCCAGCTTCCTCTCGTCAGCTGTAACTGCAAGTCATTGCCACGTGATATCCGTAGCATATCTTACGTGACAGCGGCGTGAGAGCCAAGCCCTGCAGCTGTCCCTCACACAATTGCCCCCACTGTCAGTTGAGGTAGAGATGGTGGAGATGGATCCCTCTGTGTTTGCCTTGTGTATCTTTGTGGGGATAGACAGGGCGTATGTGTGTCCAGCAGTAGCATTTTTCGTGAGTGCTAAATTCACCTTCAGGGAAAGAAGGGTTTAAGGGTCCAGAGCCACTACTTGCAGCTAGCGTGTGCTAGACTGCATGCTGGCTTCACAGGAGTGACCTGCTTTTGGAGGGTATTGTTGGCAATGGGATTGTGAGACTGGCACATGGAGTCCTGATCTGTGTGTCTGTTCTTGTGGGCTTTTATAAATCTGTTTGTAACCTCAGCATTATGCCTGGAAAATGGGGAAATGTGTGCTGTCTCCTGTGCGGTAAAATCCCATCTCTGGCGTAGTCTTGAGAGTGGTATTATTTTGAATCAGCTGGCCGGATAGCAGTTAATGTACATTTAAAAAGGGGATATGCTCCTTTGGTGAAAAACATGGGTTTTCGTGTTTGCATTTTGAGATCCACAGTGAATCAGCTACAATTGCTAGTTTAAGGCTTTTTCTTTACATAGACAAAAAGTCAGAAGTCTTAAGTGTTGGTCCACTTCAGGAACTTTGGTACAGAAGTGCCATCTTAAAAGTAAAATCTGTAGGTGCTTCTAGACCCTTGCATTTTGCAGCTAAGTTCTTTACGTACCTAGCTTTATTCTTGACATTGTTGGGCACCTGGGTGCAAGATAAGCACTTAACAGTGTTTACAAAATAATAGGTAGGGTCTAAACCTGGAGTGGAGAGGAGAGGATAAGCACTTAACAGTGTTTATGAAATAATAGGTAGGGTCTAAACGAGGAGGGGAGGGGAGGGGA